GGCACTCACTCTAGCCTGGACAACAAACCGAGACTCTGTCTCAAAAAAAAAAAATTAAAAAAAAAAAAAATTGTTACAAAAGTAATATATTTGTTTAAAAAAATACAAAACCTTCAAATAATATAGAAGACTGTACTTAAAAAACTAAAGCTCCTCCCTATCTTCAACTCAATCCCACTTCTCCAGGAGCAATCACAGTTAACAGTTTGGGAGTGGTCAGGCCTGGTGGCTCATGCCTGTAATCCTAGCAACTCTGGGTGCCTGAGAGGGGAGGATCTCTTGAGGTCAGGAGTTTGATAACAGCTTGAGCAAGAGTAAGACCCTATCTCTACTAAAAATATAAAAATTAGCTGGGAAAATTTAAAAGATCAACATTTTTTTAAAAACTACTTCGGGAATATATGTATTAATGCTAGGTTCTCACTGTATCAACCATCCGAATGAATCCATTACTACTAATTCTACTTAAACTATTTGTACTTTTTTTTTCTTTTTTCTTTTTTTTTGAGACAGAGTCTCACTCTGTTGCCCGGCTAGAGTCCTGTGGCATCAGCTAGCTCAGAGCAACCTCAAACTCCTGGGCTCAAGTGATCCTCCTGCCTCAGCCTCCCAAGTAGCTGGGACTATAGGCATGTACCACCATGCCCGGCTAATTTTTTGTATATATATTTTTAGTTGGTCAATTAATTTATTTCTATTTTTTGGTAGAGATGGGGTCTCGCTCAGGCTGGTTTCGAACTCCTGACCTTGAGCAATCCTCCCGCCTCGGCCTCCCAAAGTGCTAGGATTACAGGCGTGAGCCACCACGCCCGGCCTTAATTTTTATTTTTGAGAAAGTCTTGCTCTGTTGCCCAGGCTAGAGTACAATGGCATCATCATAGTTTACTGCAATCTCAAACTCCTGGGCTCAAACCATCCTCCTGCCTAAGCCTCCTGAGTAGCTGGGACTACAGGCATGCACCACAACGCCCAGCTAATTTTTCTATTTCTTTTTGGTTGTTTTTTGTAGAAATGAGGTCTGGCTTTTGCTCAGGCTATCTCAAACTACTGGCCTCAAGTAATCCTTGCACCTCGGCCCCCTCAAAGTGCTAGGATTACAGGCGGGAGCCACTGTGCCTGGCTTTAAGTGATTTTTCTAAAACCAAATAGCAAATTGCAGAGACAGGATTCAATTTTAAGTCTTTTGTCTTGGGTCATGGTAATGAAAAGTCATTATCTCACAGTTTATTCATCAAAAAGGTAGTTTTCTGATTCTATGAAGTGATATATTTAAGCTAAGCTTTTAAGTATGAGTAGGACTTTCATAGGTAGAGCAACTGGTAGGAACAATCAAAGAATATTATAGGGATAAAAAAATGGCATAAGGACCTGGCACCGTGGTTCATATCAACCAGCTGCTGCAATAGGAAGCCAACCTCTGTTATCTTTGTCATATCTTAGTTTACCCCAGCAATTACTTTGTGTATCTTGCTTTGTCATAGGAATGGGTTACTAATTAATTGCCAACACTTTGTTACTACAGCTTTTCCACTTTTCCACACTCCAAGATGCTTTCTAGTGTAAAATAACTTATCATTGAGTGCCCTTAAAGACCAAATATATATGTATCTCTCTAATGTGTAAAGAGTAAGGAGTCTAAACTTCAATGCTACACTCTCAAAATAGGTCTTGAAAGTTAGTACTTGTGTGAAATTATATATGACTCTTTGCTTGCAGAAAATGATTAAAGAAAAGTGACATTTATTGCAGAAGGAACAGGATTGAGGTTAAAAGAATTTTAAAAACAAGCCAGGCACAGTGGCTCACACCTGTAATCCTAGCACTCTGGGAGGCCGAGGCGGGCAGATTGCTTGAGGTCAGTAGTTCAAACCAGCCTGAGCAAGAGCGAGACCCTGTCTCTACTATAAATAGAAAGAAATTAACTGGCCAACTAATGTATATATGGAAAAAATTAGCCGGGCATGGTGGCGCATGCCTGTAGTCCCAGCTACTCGGAAGGCTGAGGCAGAAGGATTGCTTGAGCCCAGGAGTTGTTTTTTTTTTTTGAAACAGAGTCTTGCTTTGTTGCCCAGGCTAGAGTGAGTGCCATGGCGTCAGCTTTGCTGACAGCAACCTCAAACTCCTGGGAAGTATTGGAAGGCACCTTGATTTTCAGTCACCTCAGATCTCAGGGAGGCAGTTTTGCTGCAGTTAAATGTCTTAGAATGAGGTGCTAATGAGGTACAAGTTTTGTTTCTCATAGGAGCCTTCTAGCTTCCATGAAAGGAAAACTTTGAATACTTATGTATATTTACTTGCATTCTGCATCAGAATATGTGTGACCAGCAAAATCCAGGAAAATAATTTGGTTCTTCTTACACCTGGGAAGACCAGCTCAGAATTTTAACCTGATAGTTAAAATCATCTGTAGGTGTTACGAGTGGGGACACATGCCTGTAGTCCCAGCAACTTGAGAGGCTGAGGAAGGAGGATCACTTGAGCCCAGGAGTTCCAGGCTGTAGTGCATTATGACTGTGTCTGTGAATTGCCACCGCACTCCATCCAGCCTGGGCAAAATAGTGAGACCTTGTCTCTAAAACAAACAAACAAAAATGATCTGTATAACAAACACTGTATGAGTATCTCTGAACCAGTTACATTTCGGCAGGGACTAGGGGAGTGGGAGGAGGAAGGAGGAAGAGGGAATAGGGGTATGTGTGCATAAAAGTACAATAAACAACTTTCCATGGTATGTAACCAGACAGAACAATTATAGGATAAAGTGGGGCAGGTTTTTTTGTTGTTTTTTTTTAACACCAAGAAGTGTCCCACTGGAAAATGGTAGTATACTGGCAGGTTCATGGGCAAATTTTTTTTTTTTTTGAGACAGAGTCTCACTTTGTTGCCCAGGATAGAGTGAGTGCCGTGGCATCAGCCTAGATCACAGCAACCTCAAACTCCTGAGCTCAAGCAATCCTCCTGCCTCAGCCTCCCGAATAGCTGGGACTACAGTCATGTGCCACCATGCCCGGCCCATTTTTTCTATATATGTATTAGTTGGCCAATTAATTTCTTTCTATTTATAGTAGAGACAGGGTCTCACTCTTGCTCAGGCTGGTTTCGAACTCCTGACCTCGAGTAATCTACCCGCCTCGGCCTCCCAGAGTGCTAGGATTACAGGCGTGAGCCACCGCGCCCGGCCTTGGGCAAATTTTTATAACATAAAACAGATGTCTTTAGCAAAACACATACTTTCATTGGTTAAAAGAAAAAAAGAAAAATAAAGTAAAAGAAAAAAAAGGAAAAAAACACAAAAAACCAAAAATCATAAAACAGATATCTAGCTGCAACTCTCAAAGAATTGATATGAAGCCAAAACAAATTACCTTTAGCGAGGCAGTGTGATATGAAAGAAATCTCTCTGGACTGGGAGAATCAGAGGCTCAGAATTTGTTCATTAAATAGCTGTATAACCTCAGGAAAATCATTCATTTGCAAGTATTAATTGAGCAATAACCATGTAAAAATGCTAAAATAGTGTTTTTAATAAGATTCATTAATTTAATATAATGATATTACCTTATTATTATTAATTATTATTTATTATGTTATTAATTATTAATTATTATTAATCATTAACAATTGATATTACTATTATTAATATAATGATATTACTATAGGCAAAACACCATGCTAGGTAGTAGGAATGCATAAGCATATAAAACAAAGTCCCTGTCCCTGTCCTTGTGGATCTTACATTGTAGTTGGGAGAGACCCTCATGCAATGAATAAGTCAGAAGGTGAGAAGGGCTATAAAGTAAAATAAAGTTGAATAAAATAGTGTGGGGAATGGGCTAATTACAATGTTTAAAAATTGTTACACGGATTGCTCAAGGTCAGGAGTTCAAAACCAGCCTGAGCAAGAGCGAGACCCCGTCTCTACTGGTTTCGAACTCCTGACCTCGAGTAATCTACCCGCCTCGGCCTCCCAGAGTGCTAGGTTACAGGCGTGAGCCACCGCGCCCGGCCTTGGGCAAATTTTTATAACATAAAACAGATGTCTTTAGCAAACACATACTTTCATTGGTTAAAAGAAAAAAAAATAAAGTAAAAGAAAAAGGAAAAACACAAAAAACCAAAATCATAAAACAGATATCTAGCTGCAACTCTCAAAGAATTGATATGAAGCCAAAACAATTACCTTTAGCGAGGCAGTGTGATATGAAAGAATCTCTCTGGACTGGGAGAATCAGAGGCTCAGAATTTGTTCATTAATAGCTGTATAACCTCAGGAAAATCATTCATTTGCAAGTATTAATTGAGCAATAACCATGTAAAATGCTAAAATAGTGTTTTAATAAGATTCATTAATTAATATAATGATATTACCTTATTATTATTAATTATATTTATTATGTTATTAATTATTAATTATTATAATCATTAACAATTGATATTACTATTATTAATATAATGATATTACTATAGGCAAAACACCATTCTAGGTAGTAGGAATGCATAAGCATATAAACAAAGTCCCTGTCCCTGTCCTTGTGGATCTTACATTGTAGTTGGGAGAGACCCTCATGCAATGAATAAGTCAGAAGGTGAGAAGGGCTATAAAGTAAAATAAAGTGAATAAATAGTGTGGGAATGGGCTAATTACAATGTTTAAAATTGTTACACGGATTGCTCAAGGTCAGGAGTTCAAAACCAGCCTGAGCAAGAGCGAGACCCCGTCTCTACTATAAATAGAAAGAAATTAATTGGCCAACTATATATATATAAAAAATTAGCCGGCATGGTGGCGCATGCCTGTAGTCCACGTACTCGGGAGGCTGAGGCAGAAGGATCGCTCGAGCCCAGGAGTTTGAGGTTGCTGTGAGCTAGGCTGACGCCACGGCACTCACTCTAGCCTGGACAACAAACCGAGACTCTGTCTCAAAAAAAAAAATTAAAAAAAAAAAAAATTGTTACAAAGTAATATATTTGTTTAAAAAATACAAACCTTAAATAATATAGAAGACTGTACTTAAAAACTAAAGCTCCTCCCTATCTTCAACTCAATCCCACTTCTCCAGGAGCAATCACAGTTAACAGTTTGGAGTGGTCAGGCCTGGTGGCTCATGCCTGTAATCCTAGCAACTCTGGTGCCTGAGAGGGGAGGATCTCTTTAGGTCAGGAGTTTGATAACAGCTTGAGCAAGAGTAAGACCTATCTCTACTAAAAATATAAAATTAGCTGGGAAATTTAAAAGATCAACATTTTTTTAAAAACTACTTCGGGAATATATGTATTAATGCTAGGTTCTCACTGTATCAACCATCCGAATGAATCCATTACTACTAATTCTACTAAACTATTTGTACTTTTTTTTCTTTTTCTTTTTTTTTGAGACAGAGTCTCACTCTGTTGCCCGGCTAGAGTCCTGTGGCATCAGCTAGCTCAGAGCAACCTCAAACTCCTGGCTCAAGTGATCCTCCTGCCTCAGCCTCCCAAGTAGCTGGGACTATAGGCATGTACCACCATGCCCGGCTAATTTTTTTTTTTTTTTTTGAGACAGAGTCTCACTTGTTGCCCAGGCTAGAGTGAGTGCCGTGGCGTCAGCCTAGCTCACAGCAACCTCAAACTCCTGGGCTCAAGCAATCCTCCTGCCTCAGCCTCCCGAGTAGCTGGGACTACAGGCATGAGCCACCATGCCCGGCTAATTTTTTCTATATATATTAGTTGGCCAATTAATTTATTTCTGTTTATAGTAGAGACGAGGTCTCGCTCTTGCTCAGGCTGGTTTCGAACTCCTGACCTTGAGCAATCCGCCCGTCTCGGCCTCCCAGAGAGCTAGGATTACAGGCGTGAGCCACCGCGCCCGGCCTCCGGCTAATTTTTTCTATATATTTTAGTTGGCCAATTAATTTCTTTCTATTTTTGGTAGAGATGGAGTCTCGCTCTTACTCAGGCTGGTCTTGAACTCCTGACCTTGAGTGTACTTATTTTTTCAAAATAAGATCACATTTAGGCCAGGCATGGTGGCTCTCTCCTGTAGAGGCCGAGGCAGGTTGATTGTTAGAGCTCAGGGGTTTGAGACCAGCCTGAGCAAGAGTGAGACCCCATCTCTACTAAAAAGATAGAAAGAAATTAGCTGGACAACTAAAAAAAAAATATATATATATACACACACACACACACACACACACACACACACACACACACACTATATATATTAGCCAGGCATGGTGGCACATGCCTGTAGTCCCAGCTATTTGGGAGGCTGAGGCAGGAGGATCAATTGAGCCCAGGAGTTTGAGGTTGCTGTGAGCAAGGCTGCCGCCACACCACTCACTCTAGCCTGGGCAACAAAGTGAGACTCTGTCTCAATAAATAAATAAATAAATACATAATTTAATTATCTATTTAAAAGTTGTATTGTATGTTTCCATTTGTCACTGGCTTGGAGTTGATCTTTTTTTTTTCTTTTAGGTGTGCCCGATCTTCTAGAAATTAACTTTAAACTAAACTTCATAATAATCAAAAAGTGACAATTTTTCTATCTTACCCCCATTCTCATGATCGCACATCTTTCCATTCCAGAGGCAAATATCTTGAACTCTTAAGGTTCAGCATTTGAATTTGGGATTCCTGGGGATCTACTTTCACGAAGAAAGGTATTTTTTTTTCTGAGTTGTTGCTTTTTATATGTGTCATGTTTTTCTCGCACTGGATTGAGTCAAAGAAGAAAAGTGACAATATTGCTGTTATTAAAGTCAATGAGTGAGGAGACAAAATGTGTTAGAGGGAGTTGGCTGGCCACTCAAGCAGGATGGTCACCATGTTAGAGTCTAGTCCCAAGTTTGCAGAAACAAAATTCTTTTGTCAATGCACCCAGATTACAAATTTTGAGCAACTGACAAGGTTGATCTATTAACAGTCAACATTTATTGAACACTCAGTATGTGTTAGACACTCTGCAATATTATTTACTCTATTTACCTCATTGATACTACAACTCTCTGAATAGGTACATTATTAAACCTCACTTTGTAGACGAAAAATCTGAAGTACAGAGAGGATAAATAACTTGGTCAAGGGTAGGCAGCTGTAAGTACTGGAGTAAAGCTTCAAACCCATCTCTATCACATCTATGGCTTATGCTCTTTCTTTTTTGAGACAGAGTCTTACTATGTTGCCCGGGCTAGAGTACTGTGGTGTCAGCCTAGCTTACAGTAACCTCAGACTGCTGGGCTCAAGCAATCCTCCTGCCTCAGCCTCCCGAGTAGCTGGGACAACTGACATGCACTGCCATGGCCAGCTTAATATATATATATATATATATTAATTTTTTTAGTTGGCCAATTAATTTTTTTTATTTTGAGAGAGATGGGGTCTCCCTCTTGCGTCAGCTGATTTCGAACTCCTGACCTTGAGTGATCCTCCCGCCTCTGCCTCCCAGAGCGTTAGGATTACAGGTGTGAGCCACCACACCTGGCCTTATGGGCTTATGCTCTTAATCACGACACTACACCATCCTTTCTATTAAAAGGAATTATTAACTAAAATAGTTTTTATATTTTATTTATTTATTTATTTTGAGACAGAGTCTCGCTTTGTTGCCCAGGCTAGAGTGAGTGCTCTGGCGTCAGCCTCGCTCACAGCAACCTCAAACTCCTGGGCTCAAGCGATCCTTCTGCCTCAGCCTCCCGAGTAGCAAGGACTACAGGCATGTGCCACCATGCCCGGCTAATTTTTTTTTGTATATATATATATATTTTAGCTGGTCAATTAATTTATTTCTATTTTTAGTAGAGACGGGGTCTCACTGAGGCTGGTTTCGAACTCCCAACCTTGAGCAATCCGCCCACCTCGGCCTCCCAGAGTGCTAGGATTACAGGCATGAGCCACCACACCCGACCAGTTTTTATTATTTACAGTAGAAAATAATCATTCCAAGGACTAAAAGATCAGTATCAAAACATCCAGGGCAGGCGTGGTGGCTCACGCCTGTAATCCTAGCACTCTGGAGGCGAGGCGGGCAGATTGCTCAAGGTCAGGAGTTCGAAACCAGCCTGAGCGAGACCCCGTCTCTACCAAAATAGAATAAATTAATTGACCAACTAAAAATATTATATCAAAAAATTAGCTGGGCATGGTGGCGCATGCCTGTAGTCCCAGCTACTCGGAGGCTGAGGCAGTAGGATCGCTGAGCCCCGGAGACTGAGGTTGCTGTGAGCCAGGCTGATGCCACGGCACTCACCCTAGCCTGGCAACAAAGTGAGACTTTGTCTCAAAAAAAAAAAAAAAAACCATCCAAGAAGACTGTCTCGGTGGCTCAAGCCTGTAATCCTAGCACTCTGGGAGGCCAAGGCGGGCAGATCGCTCAAGGTCAGGAGTTTGAACCAGCCTGAGCAGGAATGAGACCCCATCTCTAATATAAATAGAAAGAAATTAATGGCCAACTATATATATAGAAAAATTAGCCA